ACGTTACAATACATACAGGGGTCTCGCCAGCTATACTTAAGCGTGGCGGGACCGCCACAATGAATTGTTCAATCGCATATCATCTTGAGGCACCGCCTTCTATATGCAAGCCCAACTGCAGGATCTCTTTGTACGCCGCCAGTCCGTGCAAGTAGGTACCTGTGAACACAGCGAGGTCCCTGGTCGGCTAGTGGAGGGCGCGTTCAGTACCGTACAAATATGACGATACAATATTCAGTGAAATGTCCATTTTTTATGAACGGTGATTGATAAAACAAGATTATTAATTGAATTTACGTTAATTTCTTATGAAAAACGTTTTTTATTCTGAATTTCGGCTGAGTATTTAAAAAAAAAAGTAAGGCTTAACCAAGATAGCGTATATGCTCCGGTATAAGGCGGCGTAGAAAAATATTTTTCATTGGGTGGGGGGGATGATTGGCGTGTTAGCCAGTGTTGTAACAGGCCCTGGGGGGAGGGGGAACTGCCCCTCCCCGTGACGGTTTTTACTGGGCCGACCAAGCCGTCGTACCGGGCTGGGTAATAAGAGAAATGAAAGAGGGGAGAGGGAGGGAAAGAGAAAGAAGAGGAAAAGAAAATGAAAGAAAAAGTAAAGAGAAAATAAAGACAAGAATAAAAAGGAAGATATCATAATGACCAGACTCACAACAACCTGCAACCCCTTCTCCACTTCAAAAACTGTCATAACTCCTTTGATTTATGCTGCCCGATGGCGTAACCACTGGTGGACAAAGGGAAAATATCTATCTTTGGAAAATCTTCCCCACCCCTTTATAAATGCCCTTTTCATCCACTGAAAGTGCCTAAAAACCTCAAATTTCGCGAGCATTTCTTGTTAGCATGGGCCAATTTCCTCTAAGAATTGCACATTTTAGGGAGTTTTGATCAATTCCAACGAAATTAGAATTAAAAACACCGGGGGACAAGGGGAAAATATCCATCTTTGACAAATCTTTCCCCACCCCTTGACAAATGCATCCTCTGAAAGTGCCTAAAGTTCTCAAATTCTTTGCGCGCATTTCTTGTTACGGTAGGCCAATTTCCTCTATAAATTACACATTTTAGGGAGTTTTCATCAATTCCGACGAAATTAGAATTAAAAACACAAAAATATTTTTTTTAGGTTTTTTTAGGTTTATCCTTTTAAGTTATTTAAATACATAATAGTCCCAAACTCAAGAAAGACAAATTAAGATAGATCGTTTTAACCTAAACGAAGGGCCTCAATGTGTATTGATGGTGAAAGAATATGTTTGTAATAAATAAGACCATGATGAAAATGCTTATATTTAGTTTTAAACACACGTGTGTGGCCTATATTATAAATCAGATAAGCCCTATGTCGTATTGTTTTCTATATGGGGAGTGGGGTGGGGTGGGTATGGTAAATTACTACCCACTCCGACCCAAGACCCCTGTTACGCGCCTGGTGTTAGCGCCAATGTGTGCCCCTGTGCGGACAGGGGATGTGCCCCCTCTGAAGCTGGAAACCTTGCTTTTGCAAAATAAATTGATGCAATTTGTTATTATAGGCCTAATCAATAAATTCCTCATCAACCGATATAACCTTAAACATTCTTGGAATTGACATAACATTACTGATGTCGTACACACCCGTCAGTGTGAAATGAGATGTGTATAAGAGACAGTTCATAAATAAACTGCAGTATTTGTTTTAATTTTCTTTTGTGTTATTTGATTAATAAATGCTTGCTTGGTACATATATTGTCATACATTCTACCTCGTGTTCATTCTTCGATTCGATTCGAAGGGTTGTAGTGACGCCCCAGTAATTCCGATTGTTTTTGACTAGTACACAGCCCATATGCTGCCGAAACGTCGATCCTTTTTGTCATTAAATTTTGTTTCGAAATATACAGTAAAGCGTCTGTTAATTCTTAAAAATAACATTGAGGCACAATGGCCCTTTCCAATACTAAACTCTGCCCATTTTGTCCATCATCATTATACGAATAACTCATCACATCAC